TTATTTGCATTGAATTAAGAGATGTATCTGGCTGGCTGTTTGGTTTATATTTTCTTGAAAATTTTAAGAGTATTGATAAAAATTCTACAAATATGTTGATTTGCGATTTGAAAAATGAGTAATTCATATCGGTTCTGCAAATATTTAAATAAATCCTGAAATTTATGATAATGAATTTTTGTTTTTGATAAAAGATATAGTGAAAATAAAATAAGGTCTAAAGAATTCAGTTTACGAGTGTTTTCATAATTTTAGTGCCAAATTTTTAGTAATTGAATCCTGGAATCATGATAATTTCTAGGAAATGGATGCATTTTTGCCATATTTACGAGTAGATGATAATCGACAGAAACAACTTGCCAGAAGAATCGACGACATATTGCGAATGCGTACAGGAGACAGTACCGACCGTTACAATACTTTTACAGTATTTCCTTACTTCATATTAAATGTTTTTGAAAACAATTGATTAATTTTGGAATAATATTATTTTTGTAAATTATGTTTCACTTTCTTAATAAATAATGTTTATTATTAATATTAATTAATATTTAATAATACCAAAGTCATCAACTTAGCAGGTATAATTTTATTCAAAGTTTTAGTATTTATCAAAAACTTACGATTATGCTGCCATTTACTGAAGGCTGAATGTCTGATTTGAAAAATCATTGCTTATCAAAAAAGCTTAAATTTTAGGATGCTTACGAAAAACAAATTTGGATTTCGAGTGTAAGTGTATCAGTAACACAATGTGGATGGCTAAGTACCCGAACTGGTGGTATTGGTACTCAGAACTGTAACAATCTATTATCATTCGTGTGCGAAAAGGGTATGGAATTCTTGGATTTTGAAAGTTTTCTGATTTTGTAAATGTATGAACTCAAAGTGCTTACTGTGTAGAATTGGTTCTGGTAGTTACGAAAAGTTCAAACGTTATTTTACTATCAGAAGTTTTATTCATAATCGATTGTGTAATTATATTTTGCGCATTTGAATAAGTATGCA